ATGAATAACAGGGTAAGAATGTGGTAAAATCTAAAAACGTGGTAAAAATCAGACAAGGGTTTTTCTTCTTCTGGATTGCTTTTGAAAAATGTAGATTGGGTTTAGGGAAGTGTTAGGGTGGTTCAGTCGATAAAATTGGTTAGGTTTAGGAAAGGAGGAGGTTGGGTCAGTCGATCAGTCACTCAGTCAGTCAACAGCAGCCTCTGGTGGATTTATGTGAGAACAGCAGGCGTGAATGGCACTCGCGAGAGAAATTTGAGATCACAAAAAGTGTACGTAGTACACAGTATACTCGTGGATTTGCGAAAACAAAAACTGAAGAAAAAAGTAGCTTGTTTGTTAAAGAATAATGAAAACAGCTTGTTAAAGTATACTGCCTGGAAAAGGCAAAAACTGCACTTTTTTGGCAGAGGAAGTAAAAAATACCTGACTTCCTGTTGTATTTGAGATTTTACTACAAGAGACTTTTTTGTACGTGCTGGCATGTTTGATGTATGTGCCAGTTTTCACATGTGTGCGTAAAATGTAGCTCAGGAGCCACTCCGTCAAAAGTGCATAGGTGTCGCTGTTGAGTTATTTTACCACACGCACTTCCGAAACCAATAACAAACGTAAATTTTGAAAGTTTCGTGATGTTTTTGAACATGTTTAGACCCTCAAAAATGCGATTCATTCTAGAGAAGATAAAGAAGATGAAAAAGAAACAGCTATTCCAATAGGGCCTATGCACTGCAGGTGCTCAGTCCCTCAAAATAAATATAATAAAAACTTTTTAAAAAGTAAAAAAGCACTCAAAGACAGTATAGGTTTTGCTCTACAAGAACATGTAAAATTTGCAATCTTTGCAGGGCTGTAGTCTCAGATATATTGCAGATCTGTTTAGTATGTGAGCATGAACACGGCTGTGGGCCTCAGTGGAACTTACGCCATAACTTTAGCATTTCTATCTGAAGCAGAATGTGTTTGATATGTAAATACTGCAGGACCAAACTGCTTGGAGCAACAAAAAAAGCACAAAACTACAAAAGTATCCCTTACAGAGACACTATGTGCAGCAGTGTTGGTACAACGAGTTAGTATTCAGACCGCAGGACAAACCAGTGTTGACAAGTAAGTTGCTAAAGTCAGGTCTATTTGTTACTAAAGGTTGATGAATCTTGTTATGATGTCATTGTGTCATGACGTCATTCCATGTCCCAAAACCCCAAGATGACATACATTTATTTATTTATGAAAGTAATGTAATCACCATTATAAAAAAATAACCATGGTTTATGGTTATTTTAGAAATAACCATGGATTTGTTTGGCTGTAATGGCTGTAGTAAAATATGAGGTTATACATAATAATCGCCACAGCGGAATGAACAACCAATTATCACGGCATGTGTTTTTCGCAGCAGATGCCCTTCCAGCCACAACCCAGTACTGGGAATTTTTAAAAAAGGCAGTTTACATTCAGTGTTTTATTTTTTTCATTACAGTATTATATGATTGAACAGTAAATTATTCTGAACAATTGTTCTTTTAAAGGTCCTGTGAAGTGTGCATTTGTATCAATGTTTGATGTAATCTCAACTGAAAAATGAAGAGGGGGTAGGACATAGAGTAGGCTGACCCCTTTTTAAAATAGTAGCCAATTACATATTTGTTTTTATCACAGCTCTGCCAGTAATAAGGCAAATGAGAAGTGTCATGCATGGGAAGTATGAGGTGATGTGAAAAAAAAACATTGACCCATTGATCCAAGCTGTGCATGTTTATATCAGTTTTATATCTCCTAAATCCAGATTTTGTCTCTGTTTTGGAGCACACCAACATATAGATGTTTTAAAACTAACAGACTGAAGCACCTAACATATTTTTATTTTTATTTCATGTAAGCTTTTAGCAGTGAATGAGTCATATTTTACTTATAAAAATATAGGCCTAGAGTAAAACCTGTTTACATTTGTGTACTGTATAGTAACTGAATTTTATTTTTTACATTTTTGCCATATTATTTAACATGGTAATAAGGTAATGACAAGTACTGCTCCTTAGTTCACTTCAGTCAGCCTAAACCTATAGTGACTGGGATGGGACATGTCTGGCTCACTTTTTTTGTCGTGGCCAAGACAAAATAACTTGTGGAAATGTGATAGGTCGTAGGAACATCTTATTAACTTGTGAAAACATGATCACTTGTCGTGGCCGCGTGATGTGAAATTGAACCCTCGAGATCTTATATTTAGAGAACAATATAATGTACATTTATGGTGGCCATTGCTTCTTATTATGAAGAAACAACATACATCTCTCGTGGCCACTACTTCTTAGGGCGAACTCACACTATGTACAGTTGCCTTCAACCGGGCTGAAGCACGCTTGTCCCCCTCCCGTCTTTACCCACGGCCCACACTTACATTGCATTCAGACCTAAGCACGCTGTTGAGTTTAAGAAGCGCTCTCGCTCAGCACATTGGAGATTTCTTTATATTGATTTAGTTGTTTGGGAAGCAGTAACACGCAGTCAATATTTCGCCGAACAGCCACCTTTGATGCTCAAAAACAATCATAAAGTCCTCGTGCTGTAGCAATTATGAGGTTTGCTGAAGGTGCAGCTGTCGTGCAGTGGGGGCCAACATTTCTCATAGCCACTACTTATGTTGAGGAATCGACATACATTTCTTGTGGCCACTACTTTTTATGTTAAAGGTACGACATGCATTTCTCATGGCCACTATTTATGTTAAGGGGAACAATATGCATTTCTCATGGCCACAAGTTCTTATGTTAAAGAAACAACATACATCTCTCATGACCAATACTTATGTTAAAGGGGAACAATATTCATTTCTCGTGGCCACAAGTTCTTATGTTGAGGTAACGAAATACATTTCTCATGGCCACGACTTGTTTTGTTAAGAAAATGACTTACAATTCTCGTGGCCATAAGTTCATATATTGATGGAACGACATACATTTCTTAAGTCTATTACTTTCAAGATGTGTTGGCGATCATCAACTACGGACCTTGCTATGACGGTTTAGGGTAAGGGGAGGGTAAGGGGAGGTGTAGGCTATCCTCAACTACATAGCGAACCTTGTACCGCCCACTAAGATAGCACCCATGCTACAGTGATGGTTGGGTTAAGGGTAGCGGAAGGTGTAGGCGATTGTCAACTACCACCCACTAAGGTAACGCCTATGCTACTGTGACGGTTGGGTTTAGGTTAAGGTGAAGTGTATGCGATCGTCAACTACGTAGCGGACCTGGTCGACTACGTCATTAAACTGCAGGCTGCAGCGTGGACTGTCTCACTACTTTTTATATAAATGGAACAGTATGTTTTTCTCATTGCCACAAGTTCTGATGTTGAGAGAACGATATGCATTTCTTGTGGCCATAACATATCATCACGTTCCCATGACATATTATCACATTTCCACGAGTTGTTTCTGTGTTCACGTGAGCTAAACACATCCCTTACTGGTCACCATATAAACAAGACCAGCAAGAACTGGCATAAACCAGCAAACTAGTATCAAAACCTAACCAGCATATGCTTTTTTTTCAGCAGTTACCGGACAAAATAAACATGCAGAAATTTCAGAATGTATGTTGAAAGATTGTACAACTCACCAAAATCTGCCTCATGGCTTTCATCAGGAGAAAAAGCGCAGTAAAATAACCCTAAATTTACCTCAGAAAGCCACCATCAGCTCCTTAGACAGAAAATGTACTAAAGTTAATCGTTTTAATAAATGTATGGTATGATATATGTAAATATATTAGTTTGTCTACATGCGTATTTCTTTTAAAACTACATGTTTGTTTTAATTGTAGATATACGGCCATTTAAAACAAAATATTAAACCTATATTGTTAGACTATTTTAAAAACAAAGTCATTATATTTCATTTTAATGTAGCACTTCCAAACCCATTTGATTTAATCTTCGAACCTAATATTACAATGTAGCTTTACCAAACAATACCCTGTAGTTCACGGCATTCCTTGTGCTAATAACCTACAAATTTTTGCAGCTTTGATAAGAAACACAGCCCAGTTAATGCATATTGAATTGAATTGAATTGTGAAATTAGTGTCAGCACTGAGTCCTATTTTTCTCTCTCTCCCATTTAGTCACGGAAATACCGTAAACATGTCGAAGTTCAGCTTCCTAGCCAAATGTGTCTTTTTTTTTTTTTTTGGCTAAACGTCTCCCTCTGCTGGTGCACATTCTAAAACTGGACAGTATTTAACCACAGTGCTGTTAATTTTGTTATAAAAACCTCTACACATATTTATTATAACGAAAGATTACAGCTATTTAGTTCTTTCACAATTACATTTTATTTATCTACATATATAAAGTCAAACCTTTATCTGTATACTATCTTGGAAATGAACGTGGGCCTATATCTATCTTAAAATATCCTAATCAGTGTGAATGGTACCTTTACGTAATTCCAGCTGCTATTATGTTCAATGTCCTGCAGAGGATTGATGTTTTATTTTTTCCTGAGGGCAGATGAGCTCTATTTTTATCTGTTCATTACTTTTTTTTCCGGTGCATTACCTTAATGCAAAGGCACTAGATGGCATCTAATGTCTAAGTAAATTCACTAAATGGATTCTTAACTTTTTTGGTTGACAGTTTAATTCAGCATAAAAAAAAACTACTCAAATAAAGGGCCGTCAGTAGAAATGTGCTACAGTGAATGGATAACATGTTCCATGCATATTTTATGTTTTACATTTTTGCGGTGAAATTAATCAATATTTAGAATTTTTTTCTTTCTTTTGTGCTTGACTTAGTAGTGTTTTTAAAATTTCCTAAAATCTGCTTGTCATTTTGCTGTCAACTTGTCAATTGAAAGTCCTTTGTCATCAGTATTAGTAAATAGTTTTGTATTTTCAGCAGATTCTCTTAACACTCATCGGGCCTCTCTGATTGGCTGCTGCTTTGACAGCTCTATTGTCCCTGTCCGCTCTCCACCAGACCTGTGCCCTCACAAAAAATAACTGCCAATCGCTCATGGAAATCTGCCTGCATTGGCATAATTCAGCTTCACACTATTAAATCTGACAATATTTTTGGGAAAAGATAAAAAGCAGGTAGGTTATTTATTATTTAATTGTGATTTGATTTGTTATTGTGGCTTGTGTGTTGCAAATCATTGTTCTTGTGGCCAATTTGATGACGTGGTTTAAATGCTTTAGATTTGTGTGTAAACAGTGTTCATTGTGAATTAATTGTGTTGGTAACATTCATTAGGAATGATTAATTTGATAAAACATACTCGAAACTACAAATAAACACAAAATTAATTTGAGAATTTGTTTAAATAACTGATAAGATTTGTGGATGTGTGTTTAAAATTGAGTAATTATTTATGATGTTTCATTTCATTTTAGCACAAGTTCTGTCCTTTCTGATGTAGTAAAGTATTATTTAATTCAAAATCACAGTTCTTGATGATTACTAAAATCAAAAACAAACCCAGGTATAAATAAAAAAATTACTTAACTAAAGGTTAAATTATTAGAACAGAAATAAAAATAAAACAACAAACCCTAAAAGAAATATAAAAATAACAAAAAAAATGCAATATATAACTCAATGCAATAGTAATAAAATATTAATAAATAATATAGTTGGTCCAAATAACTGAATGGCATATAGATATAGCCTAATGAATACAACAATAAAAAACAAGACTAAAATAGCAGTTTATTCATCAATACTTGTTCTAATATTATATTAAAGAGCATTTAAAAGATAATAATACCAGCATTCCTTGCTGAATAAACAGCTTAAACCAACCTAGGCTGATTGGCTGGTTTAAGCTGGTCTACCAACCTGGTTTAAGAGAAGTTCTGGCCATTCCAGGCTGGAGATGACCAGCTAAAACCAGCTTGATCGTCCTAGCCAGGCTGGGAGCCCAGCCAAAACCAGCTATGTCCAGCTTAAACCAGGCTGATCAAGCTGGTTTTAGCAGGTCATTTTCCACCCTTACCAGCTAAGACCGGGCTGGAAATAGCTGGAAACCAGCCTGGAAACTGCCAAAACTCCTCTAAAAACAGGCTGGTCGACCAGCTAAAACCAGCCAACCAGCTTAGGCTGGTTTAAGCTGTTTTTTTCAGTAGGGTAGAATATAATTAATACAAAAATCTAATTCTAACCCAAAATCATGACAATTTAATTAAATCTTAAATATTATTTAAAAATAGGATGCACGTTAACATGAAATTTATCTCTAAATAAAAAGTTAACTTCGCTAAACTAAAACAGACATCTATAAACCACATTTAATTGTTAATCTGAATACAAACTAGGCTTGAAAGGAAAGAAATACTGATTTTTAAGCTGATAAACTGTAAATAAGCAGTTCTGTAGGTTGTTGAGTTGTAAAAAAATACAAAATGCCATTGTAAAAACTTGATATCAGTTCAGTGCGACATGGTGGCACACCTGCATGTTCTCCCCGTGCTTGCATGGGTTTCCTCCTGGTGCTCCAGTTTTCCCCACAGTCTAAAGACATGCGCTACAGGTGAATTGAATAAGCTAAATTGGCAAGAGTGTATGTGTGTGTGTGAATGCAAGTGTATATAGGTGTTTCCCAGTGGCGGGTTGTGGCTGGAAGGGCATCTGCTGCGTAAAACACATGCTGGATAAGTTGGCAGTTCATTCAGCTGTGGCAAACCCTGAATAATAAAGGGACTAAGCCGCAAATAAATTAAATGAATGAATGAATGATAACAGTTCATTTTAAACCATAAATCAAAAGTGTATCAGCAAAAAATGTCTCAATATATCTTGATGCATTAACTTCAGTGTTTTCTTATATTTTGTCAGTGTGTGTAGGTGCAAGATGTACAGCTTTATGGGAGGTGGATTGTTTTGTGCAGGAGTGGGAAACATACTCCTGGTGATCTCCACTGCCACCGATTACTGGATGCAGTACCGCCAGTCCAGCAGCTACATGCACCAGGGCCTATGGCGCTACTGTGTACCTGGAAAATGCATGACACACACAGACAGCATTGGTGAGACCAGTATACATAGACACCATATGTGGACGTTACAATAAAACAATAAGCACTATGCATGGGCCGGTATAAGACTCTGAGGGTATGATAACCTTGGACATAAATATCACGGTTTCATGTTATCACGGTATTGAGATTACTGCTCTAAATATATATTCTTTTTAAATGCCTGGGTAAAAATCTAAACCTTTTTCCCCCTTTGTACACAATCTATTTTAATTTGAGAAACATTTAAAATAAATTAGAGCAGTAAACATGTGAGGCTAAATAATTCAAATTAATCATTGACTTATGCTGTCTTCATTGGTTTCTAAAGCACTGCTTTTTTACTATTTAAAATGGCATCTTTAGATTTTCTGCTGCAGATACTGTTGTCCTTAAAAACGTTTTTTAAAAAAAAATTTAATTAAAAATCTTACTCATACCTGAGGTATAGCAGAAAATTTTGATGGTTTTAAAACCTTGACTTATCCAAACCGCGGTATACCTTGAACAGGTTATCGTCCCATGCCTAATATGAAGTTTGCAGTGAATGTCTAACAGCTAATGGGCATTTAACCTGTTATTTTACAGTTATATTCATTGTAAACCACGACTTCACGGGACATTGCTTTTCCAAAATGCTCATCCGATTATTTAATACTTGCTGTCTTACATTTGTTTTAATTGCTTTTCAACAAAGACAAAGTACACAGCGCAGGTTTAACAATAAACATGGAAATTTAAACTGAGATTAAATGTATATGTGAGGTATAGTGTACATAACTAAATTGTGGATTAGTTTTGAATTTGGAAAGGAGGATTTAAAGAGAGAAGGAAATTAATTTATAAGAAAGTACAATAAAGAGAAAGAGAGAGAAAAAAACATTAATACTGACAGAAAGCAAGGTTGTGTGTGGAAGAGTATGAGGGTTTAGTTCAGAGCGGTTGAAATATATTAAGAAATTGAAGAAATGGATTCCAGAGGCTGGTAGATATGGACATTTTTATATGTGAATGTATTTTTTCTGATGTAATATATTCTTTATCCCTTTGACTGCCCCTCTACCAAACGCTTAACCATATTTTGACTGTTTTAAATAATGACTGTTACAGTCATATAAAGAATGACTGTTTTAAATAATGGTTTACACTACACATTGTGGGCGACGCAGTGGCACAGTAGGTAGTGCTGTCGCCTCAGAGCAAGAAGGTCACTGGTTCGAGCCTCAGCTGGGTCAGTTGGTGTTTCTGTGTGGAGTTAGCATGTTCTCCCTGCGTTTGTGTTGGTTTCCTCCGAGTGCTCCGGTTTCCCCCACAAGTCCAAAGACATGCGGTACAGGAGAATTGGGTAGGCTAAAATTGTCCATAGTGTATGAGTGTGAATGAGTGTGTATGGATGTTTCCCAGAGATGGGTTGCAGCTGAAAGGACATCCGCTGCGTAAAACATGTGCTGGATAAATTGGTGGCTCGTTCTGCTGTGGCAACCCTGGATTAATAAAGGGACTAAGTCAAAAAGAATGAACTACACAATGTTGGTTTACAAAAAAAAATCAAACAAACATAATCATGTTGCACTACTACACTTGATTTTGGTTTTATTCTAAAAAAAAATTTTTTAAATAAAAATAAAACTTGATTGAGCAGAAATTTTGAATGAGAATCTGAAATATTTGATGGCATACTTCAAAAAATAAAGATCATTTAGTATTAAAAAATGTTTCTTTTTTTTTTCAAATAAATTGGTCACACTTAATATTTTCAGATTTTTCATAATATATGTATCAAGTCTGGTACTTTTAGCATAAACCGACATATTAACCATTTAGTAGAGGCTGATATTTAAGAGATGTGTTGAAAAGTGTGTTAAGTAGGAGTTAAGAAATGCAGTCCAAACATTTTTTTTCTTGGTGGGGTAGTTAAAGGCATAAGCAGATTGGCCTTATTTTCTTAGTTGAATCAAATGGACTTTTCTAGAAATCTCAATTTGCATCAATCAAATTGATTAAAAATATTAAGTTTAACTCAAAACAATTTCGTTCAAACATGATTAAGTTAAAAATACCATAAAATAAGTAAAATAAATGAGTTTAAAGTACCTTAAAAACGGTTGGTCACACTTTACAATAAGGTTTCATTAGTTAATGTATTTATTAACATTAAATAATCATGAAAAATACTTGTGCAGCATTTATTAATCATAGTTTAACAATTACTAATGCATTATTAACATCCAAATTCATGCCTATTAACATTATAATTTCCCTGTGAGTTAAGATGAATAACAATAAACATCTGTATTTTCATTAACTAACTTTAACCAACATGAACAAATACTATAATACATGCGTTGTTCATGGTTTGTTTGTGTTTGCAAATGTATTAACTAACATGAAGTAATACGACCTTCGTGTATCAAGATGTTTCACAAAATGAAACCAGCAATTTAAGTCGTTTATTTATCTCAGTACTGATCGTGGAATGGTTACCAAACAGTCACAGGTGTATGTTTGTAATTATTTTGCTACATCTTAAAACCTGGCTCGACAAATCAGAATCAACACCGAAAGCAAATGATTCGTTTTATGTACTATATTTTTTACTACATTAATAATGTAGTAATGTTCAACTTAATTTGTTTGTTTAAATTCATTCCATATAAATTGTTAGCAACCACTTACCTTAAAAAAATTGTAAATGAATCATTTTTTAGTGAATGAGTTGATGAAATGACCTGTGTATTTTATAATATAAATAATGGAGCACTTTGTACTAACTAGTCTCTGATTTGGTTTGAAACAGCATACTGGGACGCCACCCGGGCCTTCATGATCCTGGCCACCTTAGCTTGTTTCTTTGGCATGATCATCGGTGTCATGGCTTTCATCAACTACTCCTCTTTTACCGGCTTTGACAGGACCTTTGCTGCGGGAATTCTCTATTTCATTTCATGTAAGAATGTCTATGCATACCTTACTGCTTATTTGCTTATCCATATACAGGGGGATTCAAAAAGAGAACCACAACAAAATCTGTAATTTGTAATTTAAATCCTTGGGTATAATCAATGTGAAGAATATTAGCAAAGTTCATAGATGTTCAACATGACCCCCTCCAGACACTCGAGTGACATCAACCCTAAAGTTGTGGTATTCTTTTTGAAGCATCCTGTATATATCTCCAAAAATGAGTTAAAGTTAAAAAAGTAGTTAAAGTGTATTTGGATGTTGTGGTTGTATCTTCCAGGCTTCTTTGTGCTGCTGGCCATGGCTGTCTACACTGGTATGACAGTCAACTACTATGGGAAACGTTATGGGAACTGGCGGTTCTCTTGGTCATATATAATGGGCTGGGTTTCTGTGGTGCTCACTTTCTTTTCAGGTAAACTAAATATAATGTGTGATTAAAAATGCCATGAAATGTTCATAAAAAGAATATATTGATTAAATGGAGAGTTCGTCCAAAAATTAAATGACCAAAAATGGGGTTTTAAACCTGAATTTTTTTTTCTTCTGTTGAACACAAGAGAAGATGTTTTGAAGGATGCTGTTTGCTGACACCCATAGAATTCCATAGTATTCCATAGAAAGAAAAGAATTACTATCGAAGTCAATGGGTGCCATGCTTCAAAATATGGTCTTTTGTGTTTAACAGAGGAAAGAAACTCAAAAAACTTTTGAAGTAAATGTGAGTAAACTATGGAATTTGTTGACTGAACTTTCCATTTTAAGCTTTATTGAGTGTATATATGTGCATTTAAAATGGCTGGCTATTGACCTTACCTAGGGTAGAGCCATGTTTAATAAATTAGTCATTTGTTCAATAGCAGAATTCTTGCATTAAAACTACAATATGTGTGATGTTGTGCAGAAAACTGAACCAATCAGAGTCTCAGTGAGCAAAGTGTGCCAAAAATATATTTAGCTCCGCCCACTACCGAGAAGCACTGCAAATTACATAATCTGTCTATAAAAGAAAGTCTGTCTCCTGACTTTTTAATTAAGTGAATTGGGTCATTCTCAAAGCATCTCGAGATTGTATTTGTTTCCCTTCGTAAAGCCCTTAGGTACATTTGACTTTTTGGCTTATTGTCATACTCTCCTTGCTGATTGGTTTGGTTCTCTGTATAAAACATTTTTTTAATCCCTATGGGAAAAATGAATGAGAAAATACTGGATCCTGAAGGAAACGTGGTCAGCCACTAATGTACATTATAGCCTCTAATACACATTAATTATGGTACAGTCACATTTACAGTTGCTCTACAAGACCTAGCAGACAAATGTTAATTATTTATATCTGCCGTTTCATGTGAGAGAATTTTTTTTTGACACAAAAATTTGCTTCTGTTTTTAATTGCACATATGCATTTTCTATTACAGTAATATATGCCATGTGTTTTTGCCATGCATTTTGTTCATTGTAAGTGTTTGGCTAATACACAACAGTATTTTCTTTGGTCAGAATCCTACAGAATTAAACTAGGAACATTTCTATTATTGAATAAGCATTGATGAAAAAACTGAAATGTTACATCATGCCGTAACTTTTTCTCCAGGGATCTTCTATATGTGTGCTTACCGGATGCATGAACCAAGAGGACCCATGTCACGCTGATGCTTTTCAGTTCAGATCCACTACAGTCTGATCATGTCATCCCTGATCCCTTCATTTTAGAACTGTCATTTATAGTTTATTTTAGAATTACAGAACTCAAATAAATGACTGATACTGAACTGCTCAATTCGTTTTTGTATATGCATACAGAAGTCTAATTTAACAAAACAACATAAATATTATACATTGGTATCAAAATATGACTTACAAAATACATAGATTTTTATCAAATATTTTTTAAGAGCCATTGATATTACTACTATAAATAATACAGGTTTAAACAAAACCTCTATTGATGTCCATACACAACTCAAAAATAAACATTCAGTCCATGAATGAAAAAAGGACAATTTATAGATTTTTTTATTTCACCCTCATCACTCATGAATGTTTTTTGAATTTATGTGCACGATGTTACCATAGAAACATAAGTTGCTTGCCCTTACACTTAAGGTCGAAACGTCCTTTTATTGTTAACAGAGTTTTATTTATTTATTTTGCTGTAAAAATTACACTAACATGGAATTGTAATTGTATTTTCAATAGGAAACTTTTGGATTTCTAGTGACGATTCTAATTTTTTAAACCGCAAAATATTATTGAAGGGATACAGTTGGATAGCAATATATTTTAGATCAAATATCCACACGTGGCTTGCCTACCACTGCATTAGCCATTCAAACAATAGGTATTGGTAAGATTTGTAATGTTCTAAAAAGAATTATATTGTATTTGATCAATAGTTCAAAATGTTATTACTATAGGGTGTTTTCACACCTGAATTATTTAGTTCAGTTGAACGCACTGTTCGTTTTTCCTTCTTGGTGCAGTTGGTATGGGCAGGTGTGAATGTAGCAATCACACTCATGTGCAATTGCTACAAAATCGGACCAAAAAGTATACGAGACTTCCTTGAAGAGATGGTCTCGGTACGCTTTCCAACGAACCCTGAAGCGATTCATTTGTGGTAAGATCATGATCTGAACTAACGTCATGAAGACCCAACCGCAAAAAGTACTGCGCCTTTTTGGACTATTGTTAATCCAGCTGCAGTGGTCCGACGCACTGTCCTATCTTATGGGGTGTGGAGGAAAAATACTTGTCAGCGTTTACCAACAATTTTAAACAGAAAGAGAGAGAGAGGGAAAAACATTACAGGATGTATCGTTGGTAATATTTCCAGAGATGAGCATGTAGCAGTTAAGCTACTAATTAGTTTGCGTCTCCTCCTGAGGTGACCTGAGATGCGCCTTCATCATTTGCAATGCATTAAAGATTCTTTTTCAAGCCGCAGCTGCACTTCATTCTCGAAATGTATAGTTTGTCTGAAGTGATGTATATAAACTATATAGTATACTATAACTAGAGATACAATTTCTTTCCATTTTCTTGTGGGAGATCCATCAGCATTTTCCCGCACGTTAATTCTGACCAATCAAAAAGTTTAGGACGTTCAATAACATCTGGCTTAAACTGCGGTCACTCCAGAGTTTGAGCTTGCAAAATTCTGTCGTATAGTGCTGCGAAAAGGGGTGGGATTAAACAAGATAATTAGACATTAAAAAAGCGAGCGATTGCTCCATGTTTTAAATTTCTGTCCAGAGAGGTCATGTTTTGATCCTTAATTGGTCTTATGCAGTCAAGTGATGCGATTTTGCAGGTCAGAGTTCACCAAGCTTAAACTTTACACCGCAGCAACCTGCGAAACTTGACGCCTGACCCTGCATTTCCCGTATGACGCATTCGTGTGCGTATGAATGGAAGTCTATGGGAAGAAAAGTCAAGTGTGACCGCAGCTTAGAGTTTGAGCATGCGATATTCTGTCGTGATGTCATGTTTTGATCCTCGGTTGTTCTCAAGTAGTCAAGTGATCTGATTTCGCAAGTCACAGTTCACCAAGCTTGAACTTTGCACCTCAGCAACCTGCGAAACCTAACGCATGAGGAAGAGTTTAGAAATTGTCAGTTTAATAAACATTTTACCTTATTTCAAATGTTTTACTTTAAGAACCAATAACACAATGTAGCATTCACTATGTGAACAGCAAAGTCTTTATTGTGCATGTTAGACACAACATATGCATATGCACTATTTCTGACAAAACATAAAAACATGCAGCTCAAAACAGCTACATATCAACCTGATAATATGCCCATATGAGTTACACATCAACTCAAAACTGGCCTGATTACACCTCTGAAATATTTGACAATTAATAAACATGCACAAACTGAAAGAAGACTTAAGTGCTTCCAGTATTTTTAGACTTTAACAATAAAGGTGCTCCAAACAGTGATAATTTTCTCAGAATGAATTAATCAACTTCCTCAATGGTTGGTCCCGAGGATCCACCTCCACCAGGAGCACCACCTGCTCCAGGAAAGCCTCCTCCAGGCATCCCCTCTGGCATCCCCCCGGTGCCCTGGTACAGCTTGGTGATGATGGGGTTGCAGAGCTTCTCCAGCTCCTTCTGCTGGTGCTCAAACTCCTCCTTCTCTGCAGTCTGAATAGACATGGCAACATGAAGTGAGTAATGCCAATGCATAAACACACCTCAGACATAAAAGCTAAGTGACATACCTGGTTCTTGTCCAGCCAGCTTATGACCTCATTGCACTTGTTGATGATCTTCTGCTTGTCCTCTTCACTAATCTTGCCTTTGAGTTTTTCGTCCTCAACTGTGGACTTCATGTTGAAGGAGTAGGACTCAAGGCCGTTTTTGGCACTAACCTTTTCTCGTTGGACATCGTCCTCAGCCTTGTACTTCTCAGCTTCCTGGACCATGCGCTCAATGTCCTCCTTGCTTAGACGTCCTGGAAGAGTTGAGACCAGTGGTTAGGCTTTCAAATAGCAAAATCATTTAGAAGTGTAGTCACTCTTCCTTCATTTCATGTGAGGGTGAAACAAAAAAAATCCCCAAACAGATCTTCCTTGTTTTTAGGCTCTTTATTGGACCAAGAGCTATAGAGAAATGTAAATCTTTATATAAAGACATCAGCAGCTAATATAACTATTTTGTGCTTATGTTAAACCTGCTTATTTAATGCACAGAGCTTGATACTTTTGACCATGCATTGAATAATTTTTGTATTACTTGGTTTGTCCACAAGATGTCAGCGCTGATCCAGGTTGTGAGTGTCAGAAAAGTAATGCAGATATGGAAAAACTAACGTTAGCAATAACCTTAGACTCGACGACTAGAGCTAATAATTAAGAGTTGAAATAGAGAAAGATGATTATTAATTTTGCGAAATATAACAGGCATTACAAGTTATTCATTGATAGGCTGTGATTTATAAAGATAAAACTCTAGAGAATAGAGTAATACCTTCTGTCAAAATGCAGTATTCATAGTAAAATGTATTGTGTACTCTGTTGTTTTAAATGGTCTTAAGGTAAAACAGGGGAGATGTAGTTTTTTTTTTTATTCCAAACATGGTTAACGTTCTGCGAAAGAATTGCTGAAATTTAAACATTTTAAGGTTCAAAATTTTATTTGTAATTATGTACTCTTGGGCTTTATTGCAATCTTTATCTCAAAACATATTTTATCCTACATTTTTTAAAAGGAAAATCAAGGTGTGGTTCTCTATAAAAAAAGGTAAAAAAAAAAAAAAACACCTGCATGTTCTGAAAGAGATCAAACCTCCGCCGTGTATGGAAAAGTAATGCAAAAGTAATAGAACGCATGACTTACCATAAAAAGTAACTAAGTAATGCACTTACAGTAGTTACTTTTTTGGGGGAGTAGCTCAATATTGTAATGCATTCCTTTCAAAAGTACCTCTATAAACACAACTGTCAAAAGACAAGACTTTCTGCTTGTGAAACTAAACTGCAATTCTATGAATACACCCTCAATTCAAAGGGTTATTTCACCGAAAAATTAAAGGTTTGTTATTAATTACTCATCCTACTGTTCCAATCCCTTGAGACCTTTGTCTACCCCTTGTGCATCAGAGATGGGTGTGCTCTGAAATGCTATGGGAAACTATGGGAAATGCAACTTATTGTCATTAGGGTCAACAGCGCAACATGCAAAAATCTTACTACCCCTAGGAAGCACAACCTAATCTGATCTTGAGGACATTGGCGAACAGAGTTGTTTTCATTATAATTGAAGCACTTAAGTCACATGGAATGTTTTGACAATTTTTTTAATTCATTTTCTGGACTTTGAATGTCTCTAAACCCTTGCTGTCTATAAAGGGCAAGAGAGCTCTCACATTTCATCTAAAAGATCCTAATTTGTGTTCTGAAGATGAATAAAAGGTCTCAGGGAATTGAAATGTCATGATTAACAGGAATAACATGTCTTTTTATGTGAAGTAATGCTTTAAGAAACACCCAAGAAGCCACAAACATATTACCTTTGTCATTGGTGATGGTGATCTTGTTCTCCTTGCCGGTGCTCTTGTCTACAGCTGAGACATTCATGATGCCATTGGCATCAATGTCAAAGGTTACTTCAATTTGAGGAACACCACGAGGAGCCGGAGGAATTCCAGTCAACTCAAACTTTCCAAGCAAATTATTGTCCTTGGTCATGGCTCTCTCCCCCTCGTACACCTATACAGTAGAAGAATGCAATGAAATGTTAAACCTCGCAAAAAACCTAGGGTCAAAACATTAGACATTAGGTGCTGCTCACCTGAATGAGGACACCAGGCTGGTTGTCGCAGTAGGTGGTGAAGGTCTGAGTTTGTTTGGTTGGAATGGTAGTGTTACGTTTGATCAGGATGGTCATAACGCCACCAGCGGTCTCAATTCCCAAAGACAGAGGGGTGACGTCCAGGAGCAACAGGTCTTGGACATTCTCAGACTTATCTCCACACAAAATGGCTGCCTGGACAGCTGTGGGGAAAAAAGTATTAAGATTCTTAGTCAATCTTATCACAAGTTGACAACACTGACTAAAATACAGGTGTATACTGGGTCTAAAAAAGGTCTTTACTTGCTTTTCCACTCATTCATATGCAGCATGACATACTGTAGGCTGACTAAAGTACAAAAGTAGAAGGAAGCAACAAAATCTCAACACAAATGCACAATTAGTCAGCCGAGATAAAAACCATTTCTTGTTATTAACATCCTAAAGAAACACACTTGTAAACATAAT